AAATAACCTATTCATTAGCTCGCTCCTAAAAATCTCTATTATCGCATCAATTTGCTTCGAAAAAAAGAAAAGTAAAAAGAGTTGATTTTAATGTTACAAAAAGGAATCTTAACACTTAAATAGCTGACACATATTCAAATCGGAGGATTGGAAATAAAAATAAGTGTAGACGACACTCACCTGTCCTCCTCCTGTTTACTGCTTTTAGCAGGTGTTTTATCCGGCGTACGTAAGGAGCTCAGGAAATCGTGAGCAAACGATGTTGGACATAGCTGTAGAGCTTATTTATAATCACATTGAAAATAGAAAGATTCTTCAGTCCTATTCACCTCAGAGAAATCCGTCGCTGCCTTGTCCATACTGCTTCCTTGATTCTGGCTTCTTGCTCGTTCCACCGCACATCGAGCTTTGTATTGGCTGACTAAATCTTACAGCTGACACAATGGTCGGAAGAATCTTGAAGTAACCAGTTTTTATAGCTCTGACTGCTCCACTTTCATTCAATTGCTACAACTGCTCTGGGAAAAATTCTGAAGTTGGGTAGGTAAATTATGGTGTTCTTGGAGCCTGACTAAATTGAGCGGCGGTCTAACTTTGGAAGTTTTACTAATATAAATAGTTCTCACCTTGCTTGCCCAACATTATATCCGCCGATGAGGTGCTTGTCTCCACACGGAGTGCTTCCATCGCAACTGATTTAGGAGCAGTAAATGACGTGATTTGTGTTTGATTAGGAGGCTGCGCGACAATTCGAGCCAACGTACGACGTTTCTGCAGAGAAAAGAAATACGCTTCAGTCTCCACCTTTGAGTAGCCTATAGTTAGCCACCGCTACATAACATATAAACCTGTTTCGCTCCTTTTTTTCCTCTAAGTGCGTTGTACTGTTCAGCGAAACTGTCATATTCCTCGAGGACCACTGAGCTTTCCGAGACCAATGGTTGGACCACTGTTTGGGCCTGCGGAGCCTGGAATAAAAACAAATAGCTTTGGAAATGTGGACTCCTGGAATTTCAGAGTAAACCAGAGGTGTCATGTGCCATGATAATAATCACGAATCAACTTGCAACAGAGCTATGGCATCACCAGCATAAAACTCCTTAGCGTCCCTCAGGCCCCCATTTGTGGAATGAAATTCGTTCTTTTTTTCTCATTCTTTCTCATTCGTTCTTCTTCTCACCACTCTGCCTGATGACGAAAATTACTCTCTAACTAAAAAATGAACCTATGGAGTTGAGCAGATCAAAGCACTGTAGCTGTCCACTGCCCCTTACCCTTAACAAATTAACAGGAGTAACTGAAAGGTTGTACAAGATGAAAAACGGACCTCTTCCTGAATAACATTCAGTGGAGATCCTAAGTTACTTTGGGGCATCAACTTATTCCGTGAACTCCTCACAGGACGCATCTTCGATGGAGGATCCTCTCTGAAACAGCGATCAATCGAATGAACAGACTTGCAAGACATTCTGCAGGCCGTAACTGATTGAAACAGCTAAATACTGGGAGCTCTTGTACACCAAATTTACAATTTTCATGAAGATGCGTTTCGTTTGATACAAGTCCGATTCCCCTGAACACTAGAGTGCAAGTTTACATTAGTATTACATTACTTGGAGGTATTTTATACATAGTAGTGATACAGCATGCTTTCTACTACTGACCGTTCTTACCTTCGTTCAGTCGTTGCATCAACTGGCCGCTTTCTCGTGTCGAGAATCGCCTCACCGTAGTCTCGTTCTAACAACGATACCATTATACGCCATGGTTCCCGCATCCTCGGAGCGATTCTCACACTGTACACCAATTCCACAACAGGAGTCATGCCACACTGAAACTACCCAAATGTAATTATTACATAATCATTGGTAGATCAACAGGACTATTCATTTATTAGAACAACAAGAAAATTATTCTAAAGGGAAAAGTTTTCTAAAATGTTTCTTGAATATTTTCAAATCTGCTAACGCACGCTAACGCTTGCATCGCATGTTCACAAACGCTTATCTACAATCCTACTCAAGAGTTTCATAGGAACGAGTTCCATGTTCAGCATAGAGCATATCAATTATCCCAATATTCCGCTAAAGGTTTGTTTCTGGAAATCACGCATTAAGAGAGCAGCACTTAACCGAAAAAGGTAACTCTAAGTGCGTAACTATTGATAACTGTTGAGGCGCTGTGGTCCAAAAATCACTTACTTCCAACTAAAGTTAGTTGAGAGAAAACAAAATTTTATGTAAATACAGTATTAAAAGGAGCTAAATCAACCTTTATCAACAGGCCATTCACACATACTAGGTGTAATAGATTGGGAAAACACTCAAAACTAAATTTTTGTGACACTTGGACCATCCTGATGAGACCTTCTTGGCCTGATTAATAAGCACGACCATTTTCTTTGGGTGGTCCAGGTAGCAACCAGCGCATCTTCTGCGGCACTCCTTCGCTCTTTCACTCCAATTTGTAAATTGATTTTGGAGAGGGATGTTCGCCGAAACATTTGTCTACAAGGGTCTTACATGGTTCATCACGACAGCGCTATCTGCCTCTGACCAATCTATCAAAGAGTCGAGAACAAAGTTCATCCCTCGTGTCTAGACAAAGTTCTATGATATTTTATTGGGTCTGGATCCCACTAGCCACAAGGGTTCAGAGATATGTTGAGCAGTTCTCTAATTCCTGCAAAGCCTTATAAAGTAAGAGTGGATGTTGTTTTATTCACCCGTTTTTCGAGATAAAGTTCCATTAAAATGCCACAGATTAAGTGGTAGGTCACCCACAATGTGGCACGTACGCATAGTGGATGACTTAACACTACTTCTGCGACATTTTAATGAAACTTTATCTCAAAAAATGGGTGTGCAAGAGATTATTTTGCTCCTGGGACCGTGTGGCCCGCCGGCGGGCCAAAACAATAGCCGGCGGAAGGTGCGCTCGGTCCCTCAAGCCAGACTTGCTCAAAAGGCGCGGTCGCCAATGGGTTACTGATCAAACGATCAATGTTTTGCTGTCATGCAAGCGGTAGCATAGCAAAGTAACGAGTATTCGCCAAATGGTTAATCGATAAGGTTACTCGCTTGATCAATGCCCAGCATCAGAATCTGAATATAGAAGCAGTTCCTTTAGCAACTACAAGTAATTGCTCTGCCTCTGACTAGCCTTACAGTCATAACATGGCTGTAATCCTGCTGTTTACCTGTTAGAATAAACAAAACAAACAAACACTCACCAAACAATAAATTTCTGCTGCGATCGCGTCTTGAACGTTTTCTTCACATAGACCACTTTTCATTATGTCCTCGTTCAGAACAAAGTTGTGAGATATCGAGACCGTATACGAGGGTTCTAAAATGTTTCAACAAAAAGTTAACGTCAAAATGGAGTACGAAATTGTGGGCTCTATTAAGCTTATCAAATAATTTACCAGTATTCACTGGTGCATTTCGAGACCGCTGCGATTTCAATGCCTCACGATCCTCTCGCTCCTTTCTCAGCCTGAAAATCTGAAGTTTCGTTCTATACGACATCTTGGATAAATTCAAAAATACTTGTTCAGGGATAATCCCACAGCAGGTGCCAACTCGGTAGCATTAAGAACCACTCTTCCTACTTCTGTATCTTTGCCAGCGAACAAGCGGACTTCAGGCCTTGAACCAGATGATCTTCGGCTACCGCTTGCATCCTAAAGCGGATGCAAGTTATTCAGAACTTCGGAACTATAAATCAGCTTCGATATGGAGTGTCCTGTTAATAGCCCACTTCCATTCTGCATGGGGTTGCTTCAGGATAGCTCATGAAATTAGTGACTATGAATGGGACAGTATTGGTGATGAATTGAACAAGGAGCTCTAATTGGAGAGCGAAAGGAAGAATTTGGACTTTCTCTTTGAACGCTCACCAATCTGTCCAGTGCCGTTGACCACTTGTGCCGTAGGAGCTGGAAAATTCTCGAAATACGGTCATTGGTGCTCAAGCGGATTCGAAGTAAAGGATTTTGTTCACAGCTGACCTAAAATGAAAATGGTGTTCTATCAAGTAGACATTATCCCCAAATGAATTATATATATATATATATATATATATATATATATATATATATATATTTTGATTTTCAGGAGAATCATATCTTTACTCGAACGACTGTTCAAAGGCACAGTTCACGGTAATTTTGTGATACTCTTTCAAGCTGAAAAGCGGAAGTGTTGATGTATACTGCACCGATGGCGAAGAAGGCGAGATGATTCACCCATACCGCGGAAAAAAGCTTCTAAAAGTAGGGAAAATAGAGGTTTTACGAAATCAACGAATAGTTGCTTCATACTATGACGTCCGTCCGTTGCGTGCGTGCCGCGACGGCAGTTCCAGACACAGGTAATGACAGCGTCTGATACCGATCGATACCGCAAGACGGATGATGAAATTAATCATACCCTTGTCTTGCAGTATCGATCGGTATTCAGCGCTGTCAACACCTGTATAGAACCGCCGTCGCGGCACGCCAACACCTGTCTGGAACCGCCGTCGCGGCACGCAAGCGACGGACGGGCGGACGTCGAAGTCTGAAAGCAACCAATGGCACGTAATGTGTGCCATTATCGTCATGGTGATCTCGTACATGGGGTGTCTGGACGAAATTCTACTTGCTGCGATTGCGCAAAGGGCTGACTACGTAAAATCAAAATTGTCTGAAGCCATCTTCCTCTTGCGCCATGGGTCTTGACAAGCTGTTCGAAATTTCAAGATGGGAATCCCCTGAGATAGAGCGGATTCTAAAACGCCGTTGAAACTCCTCCGCTCTCCAGTGTGTTCAACCGATACAATCTCTGAGACGCTATAGCGATCTATCCAAGCCGTTACCGATCTTGCAACGCCACTTATTGTAAACTAGAACTCACAGATTCATCGGGGGGGGGGGGGGGGGGGGGGGNGGGGGGCGGGGGTTATTCCTCAGAAACCATTTTAATCGTTAACTATGCCTTTAACTAAATCAATATTTCTCACAAATGTATGTTGGGAATTTTTTTCTGAGTCCCAATCATTTTAAGAAAGTCACAGTCGAAGCGAATGATCTGGGAAAAACTTGCCACATAAGAAGCATCAGCATACGTCATCGGTTTCAGCGACACTATGATTTCGGAAGGAAATTTATCAAGTTGGTTACCTTAAATAACCAGTTTGCGCTTCATCGTAAATACATCTAAAACCATTCAAATATGTATGTTGAGAGCGTTCGAAACTCACTATAGAAAAACTTGAGCAGTGAAGGACAAGGTGGGGTCTTGATCTTCACAGGCACACTTTTCTTTTTCGATTTATCGCGTATAGGCACAGTCGTACACCTATCCAAAAAAGCTGTTAAGTGAATGAATTAGACGTTAAAGAGCATGATTCGCCAGGCACAAACCCATAAAAAATCAGCTCCTTCATTCGTTCTGGAATGTACTGGTTGGTGTGAGTTCTTCTTCTCCATTCACACGCATTTATGGTGATAAACAGTTCTTTCGCATCACGTCCAATGTCTCCCATCGAGTCTTAAGGGTTTCAATTCGATAGTTCAGAGAGGAAAATCGAAGTAAAGTGAATGGAAACATACCTTCATCTAAAGAAATTGTCTGCTTCACATGCTTCAGTAAATTGAAATAGTAATTCTTCGTTTGTTCCTTGTTTTTATCCACTTTTCGCTTGGCCATAATTCGCATCACGCCATCGAAGTCTTTCCCACACTTAATTTTTTGAAGAGATGTCCCGCTTTAACTGCTAAACTTTGAAAAGAGCTCGGTACCTGTTTCAAGCCCTCATAAAAAACCATAATCTCATCATGGCTCCATGTCTTGGACTTCCGAGGAAGACGTTCCTCTTCACTGAGTGATGAGCCAGTTGCCTTAGATGGCTAAAAACACGTTCTTAGCCCGTTTCTCAAATTGTGCAGCTTAGGCATAAAATAACTTTTACTGTGCGCCATAAAATCGAGTGTACGTAACTGTATATAAAACAGAACCTCGACGATCCCTTAAATACTAAAATAGCGGGACGGGAACGGACCCGATCTTTTTTGTGAAAGCTCGAGGAATGAGAAAACATAGGGGTCACGGCGAGGAAAAGGCATCAGACCACATGGCAACCGGAAACATCTTCACCATTTTTCCGCGGAATCACTACTTGAGTTATTGAAAGGAATAAACTTCAAAGGCAGGAAAAGCTGATTTTGAAGTCTTTCCATTTTGATTCTGCCCTTACCACGGTTCACGAAAGATGAAAAAAGGTCAACTTACTCCAGGAGCGGACGCGGAGTCACCGATAGTGCCGTCAAGACGATTACTCGTCGTACTAAGAGGACGGGGCTCAGGCGGTGGACGAAAGGCCAGACGACGTCGAGATATAGGCTCGGAGAATTGGGTGAAGGTGAGTTCTTCTGAAGCTACGGTCGCATCCTCATCTACTGCCTCAAGCCGGCTTGTCATTTTAGTTTCCTATACCTACTACTATTACATTTTTCTACAGCACTAAAACAGTATTTTTCGAAAATCATATTGAAACAGGCCCTCAGAAATACGTACGCGCACAATGACGCCCAGGAATTTCATGTTGCACTCTATAACACTTTTTCGTTCTGAAGCCTTTAAGGAAGTTACAGCATTACGGTTATATCGACAACAACAAATGAGAAACGAAACTGGACAACAAGTTTACTGGAACAAGAACAGCACAGTTACACATTTGACAGTGAATAACTTATTAATCAAGAGCTTGCAGAAACAAAAAACAAACATAAAATTCATCAGTCTGGGAGACAAGCAATTCATTAAGAAGGACATTGTGCTAAACGACGTACTTTGTACGGATTAAGGAAAACAAACGGAGTTTGATGTAAAGGAAGATCGAAAGCATATAACACCTTATACAGTTTGAAGAGAGGTATTTACGCTTTGAATAGATCACCAACAGTTTCACACAACGAACATCGAAACTTCTTCTGGTTTTGACTGCCACATTCCTAGTTTCTGGTCTCGAAGCCTGGTTTATATTTTGATTAGCAGTGTGAAGGCACAGTACAGTTTGAAAATACTTTCAGTTATTTGCAAAAGGAAGTGGAATGACTCACCACGTTTCTAGCGAAATTCTGCCTTGTTCATAAGCTTGGCAATGAACCTTCATGTTTTCATAAGTGTACCCCTTCGGGACAGGTCTCCCAAGGTCGCTGCAGATCTAAAACACGGCTTAATAGTTTAATTATTGGCCTATTCTACATATAGTATTCCTTTTTCATTCAACTTGAGCAAAATGATGAGCGCAGGCACAAAAACACGAACGAAACCTACTTTTTTGAAGAGCACTGCGATCTGACTTTTGGAAATGCGTGAAACACCGTGAGCGTCCTTGTCCAGTCGACCAATGTTTGGCCGCAAAATCTGAACATGTACGTTTGTGTGCAAATCACGTAGAAAAGTTGCTTTATATTACTTATATGAACTACTGAATCGAAATCCCCTAAGAGCATTGATAGCGTTGCGTTAACAGCTAGTTGTAGTTCACTCAGACTTCCCGCTAGCTGACGCTCGAGAGTCACTATCTGTTTGCGATGCGCAAATGGCTGGAGTCATCATTCCATCGCCTCGCTTAGTCTCCCCTTTTACCTCTGGCTTAGTATGTGTAGAATAAACGGCTTCTCGTCTTCCGCAGGGAACGCCTGGCAGTCGAAGCATGGTCGATTGCGATGGTAGCTCGCTGCGAGTCAAGATCTCGAGTAGCGTCCCTTTTGCACAAGCTACGATCTCTAAGACTATACCATGTGGATCTCAACGGTAAGGAAAGAGGCGTAGTAACCGAAGCTCTCTGATTGCACTGACTGACGTACTACACAATCCCGTGCAGCCGAGCTAAGAATAGGTCGAGCTGAGAGCTCAGGGGCAATGAATGCCGAGTTCCCTGATGACGAAGGAGCTTACACGTAAGTTTTTCACGCATTTGTATCCTACTGCGAATATGGGGACGGACTCACTTTGTCACATACTTCTGTAATGTGTAATGCAATAGTATTTTACTTAAATTTTCTAGGTTTAGTGAAATACCGTTCGCACTTCGCTGAATAATCTATCCCTATTTACAAGCAGTACAAGCACAATTCATTAGCCACGAGCAATTTCGAGTGTTTTAGTGGTTTCTATAAATTTGGTACCAATGCATTGCGTGTATGGCACACATCACATGATGCCTGTTTTTTTGCTATTTGGAGGCATGGACTCCATCAATATAATCAAGACATCACTCAAAAACCAATCAAAAACCCTTGCGCGTATTAAATCCACTGCATGGAGCCTACCTAGCCATGCGATTGGTTTAGAATTCTTTCGCCCAGGGCCCCTACAGTGGAAGTGCTACAGTATTATCGACTAGTTACATTTAATTTAGTTGACTGGCTAGTTTTTTGGTGAGGCAAAGGAATATAAATTCTATAAAATATGGTAGAAGAATTCTCATCAACATATATGGTCTGTACTGAAAGTAGAAACGGAGTAAATTTCACGAAAATGTTTAACCATTCAATTCATTGAAGCAGTGGATTTCTTAAGACTGAACAGAAAGACTAGAATTAGTCGAGGTTGAGTGGTAAGAGGCATCCGAGACGGCCAAAAGAGTTGGGATTGAAAGAACCCAGAATTTCAAAGACATGTTTACCTGTGTATTGCTTAAATTTTAATTGCTGAGTGGACAGAAAACCCATTCCATCATCCCTTGAGATGAGGAATCAGAGGGGACAAGGTAAAGATAACTTTACTCGGGGTCGCAAAATTCTTCTGTATTTGGAAAAATATATATTGAAAGTGCAAGTAGTCTTTCTATTTCCATAGTGGAAATCGGGAGTTCTTACTACCAAAATTTTTAAAACATTTAAAAAAACAAAACTCAAGCAAGGAATCGTTTCGATGGGAAATGAAATGATTGCCCTTGAAATAGTAAAGTGACGACGCTCCCTACAGTACCGCGCTCACTATGAGTGACGGAAAATAACCATTCCATAAGAACGAGTATATAGTATAATGCAATTCAGTGCCCATATTTGCAACATCTGCGATAAAAATTAGATCTGTAGGTAAGTACCTCGATAGAGTCGTCTGCAATGTTCCAGTTGATCGACAATGGAGTGCCAGGTGAAGTATCTCGAGGATTTGAATCAGCCTAACGAAAAGCATTCTAAGTGAAGGAAACAATACCAATATATTCTATTCACCTGGCAATGCCCAATGTATGGTTTGTTCACACGAAATGGCGCTACAGGGACAAATCCTTCCACACGACGGAAAAGAGCACGTTCTAAGCGACTTTTGTCCGCCTTCTCGGCTACTGATATTGAAGAGAGGTAAATCTAGAACAACACTATTGATTCACGCTCAAAGTAAAAATAAGATTCGAAAACGTACAGGATCAATAAGCAGTGACAACAGTTCTCCTTGAATTCCAAGAACATTCCACCGCATGATCTTGTCGCTACATGACATAGTCCTAATACGTTCCCCTCCAGCAATTCCGTCTATTGTTTGTGGACCCAGAACTTCTGGTGTGCGACCAAGTATCGTTCCCATACCTGGAGAATACCTATTTGACTCACTGTAGAAGAAAACTTGAACAAAACACTAGTCTATCAAAAGTTGTCAAGGTGCTACTTCGAGGGCATAGGAATAGAAAATTCTGTTTTGTACCTTCAGTTTCTGCTGCCTACCTAGACTCCTCTACCAATTACTGCATCAAAAGTAAGGAAGCTTATATTGTAGAAGAAGTGTAACGAATAACTCTGGCAAGAAAAAGATGAAAACTGGAACCAACCGCTCTCGATTTTGAACCGAAGGTTGCTGTGCGACTCGATCTCATTGATTTGCTCACCATCCTCGTTCAGAACGTATGCACGAGCGTCTCCACATGGAGCGGTATTGACAAACAGATGAAATGACAGACCCTTCCGAAGTGCTAACTTTCCTGTATAAGAAAACATAAAAAGAGAGCTCAAAAAATAAAATAATGGAGACATACCTAGTTCATTGGTCTTCACGAAAATCGATTTAGAGGCGTCCTGGGTGTACAACAACACCTGCGCGTACAAAAATCTGTAATACCAAATGTTTATCACAAAACTAAAACCTATGTTATTTGAGAAAACTACTCGCCGTAACAGTCCTCGACGAGCAACTACCTCAGCATGACAGTCATTCACAGAGAGTCCATGGAGGCTGAGCATATCACCTGAATTTGCTGGTAAAAACGTTAAAGGGTTTAGTGGACATAGGTTCAGTAAATAGAAAGGGAAGATTTTATATATTAAGCATAAAAATACGACAAGTATGTTCGAATATTAGGGCAAGTGATCTGCAATCGAAGGGGAGCTTGTCAATAAAGTTTTGTGATATTTGAAAATATAAACAAGATATCAAACTATAAATAGGAACATACAGAGCGAATGATACAGCACAGAGAACTAAACAGTTTCAACCAACCCCTAAGACCCTTATTTCCTGTGCCTAAAGACACCAAATCGGCACTGCTTCCATGATGATTCCTCGTAACGAGAAAGATGCCAGCGATCACCTTCTCTGATCCGATAATCTCAGGGTATGCATTACCGAGTCTGGAAGGAAAGTATAGACAAAAAAATGCAGCGATGAAAGGTGCAGCTCCGCGATCAGGTAATAGACAATTCAAGAAACCACATGCAATTTCACTCTTTTAAAAGCGAAAAAATAGAGCAAAATGCAGAAAGTTCGTTTTTCCTCATCTGTGATTAGAGCATTTATGGCCAATGAAAGAGTAATACTAGCTCTTATACCATGGACAGAATTTGGCCCGTTTCTGTTTAATTAGCAACAAACATCAGTATTTCACCCTATCCCAGCATCGGTATGGACGTGAACACAGGTCAGCTTGCCTAGTAAAAAAGGGTAGCGCCAAAGTCAGAACAAAGCTTTTTCAGAAGTGGATAGCCATTAACCAGAAATTCGATTGGTGATACTGACCAGTAAGGAAACTAGATGAGAATTTTCCAATGTCTGAAAGGAAGATTCAATTCTAACCCGTAAAACTTCGCGTAGGTGTGTTTACGAAGAAGTTCAGAGAACGTAGTTTCCTGCTTGAATTCAAGATCCTGTGCTGACTTCGCAATATCCACGGAGAACTTTTCGCACAGAACCTGGAAGCGTAGTGATAAAGAAGCTTTACCAAGGATTTCTGAAAGAAGCTGCAGCCTTTGCTGTTAAACTCTGTCCAAACATTGCGTACGAGGACAAAATAGATAGAGGAATCCTTCAAAATCTCAAATCTTTTCGAGAAAATTGTAAAATTCTCAGGCTAGCTTGGACGGCACACAGCTATCAAGGCTAGTTCATGCGTTATTCGTTAAGGTTATTCCAGAATTCACTGGCTATACCAAAATCGATATCCTCAACGTTACATTGCACAGACTGGCGCGCAGCGTTAATTCCGTCCTACAATTAGGGAGGAATACAACGAGCACAGTGGCAATCTCAATCAATTTTACCTTGACTCCCTTGACAAAGCAATCCATTTTGGCGATTTTCTTAGTGCGGTGTGGTGCCCCTCTTACCAACACGTTTCCAACCTGGACAGACATCACAAAAAGAAACCTGCAAGTTCGAGACAGTCACAAAATGATGAATTAGACACAGACTTGAACTGTGGTACTTCTTAATAGAAGGGCCAATCTCACCTAAACAACATCTCCCAAGTTCTGCTAAAAAAAACTTCACGTATTACAAAAGTGTAAACGACTAGATCAGATCTTTTCCCACCTCCACTCGCCAGACCTCTCCCTAAGGTTTTACAGCTGACTTCTCTGCCTTACTTGGCTGATCTAACATCGATACTGTGAATTTGAAGCATTACTACTACTGTTATTGTTACTCGCACTTTGTATGTTTGTTTGGGTGTCATTCTGTCGAGTCGGAAGAATGAGTGTTTCCCACCCAGTTGTAATTTTTGTTTAACCATTGTTCTCTCGATTTCCCAACTCAAAAGTTGGCACTTCTTATGTTCCCATGACAATTTTCCTAACATATCAGAATGATAACGAACAGAAGCTTCTAATTCATAGAATTGATATTAGGTCAGCTGAGTTTGGCTGAGGGGCCAGCAGCGAGCCCTCTAAAAGAGGTCACCCGATAGCGTGCGAGGCAGCGAAGAGAACTCATTCAGAACTAAGTTGTTCACACATTACAAAACCACTGCTCTGCGAATGAATTCCATTGATACTGAAACCAGAGAAAGATATGATACTGTAAAAAAATACAACACTAAAAACTCACGTCCCCTTCTCTTCTCCATGGATAGTCTCAACCATTACTTCAGGAGTCGACCTAAATATCATTTTACCGACACTGGAACGCTTACAAAACTCGAAAACGCAGCCACAGACATTGGAAGTTGTGAGAAATGAAGTTAGTTACTCACTTGAACACATGCATGTACAATTCCAAAAAGAGAGATATAGGGTTTTTGCGGGTACGAGCAATCATCTCCCGCAAATCTTCGCCCATGTCCTCCGTAATGGTCGGTGACACAGTCATGACGTTTTCCTCTAAGTGAACGGACTAACGAAGAAAACACAGCTGAGATGACAACGAGGCAAAATCTAATCTGTGAATGTAGAGGCTGATGAAAACATCCTTGAACCATCAAACCACTCTAGTGCACACAAGTTTATTCGTACTACAACAACGCTCTGATGACGAAACCTATTGATTTGCATTAGGAGAGCGGCTAACACAAGCAAGTACAACCTATTCATAATTTGATTTCTACTGATAATAATTTTCAAGTTGTTTATCGATACAAGTATTCCGATTGCAAATTCGCAGCTAATTCTGGCTCCCAACGGTCGCCATTTGTGAGCAGCTTTTCCTAAAAAACAAAAGAATTGACAGCTACCATGAATTCGTAAGAAAAAAGTTTCTGTGGACAAATGGATACCTTGTTGTAAAGTAATTCCATGTGTGTTTCCGTAGAAAATTCGAAATTCGGTCCTTCAACAATTGCGTCGACAGGACAAGCTTCTTGGCATAATCCACAGTAAATACACCTTCAAATAATTATTAGAAGTTGTTTTGAAACGGCAAGGAGCGTGCTGTGAAGTGCGTGAAGATCAGCTTCGGAACTATCCCCGTCTATAAGTCATTTCAGCTGGGGTCTTACCCTCTGGCTCCATTAATATGTGTCAGACTCGTCTCGAAGGACCAAGTCTTAATTTTGACAAGATTTTTCTGTTGATTGCTGGTATTTCGACGTTCGTAACATAAGTCTCTCAAGATTGAGAATTATGGGTCCAAAAGCTACGTCTTATGCATTGTCTAGTTCCCGCGAGTAACTATGTAGACGAAGTACGGATTGAAACGCTGAAGGAATTTCAAATGAAAAACGAATGTGAGGGCAAGACATGATTGATGAAAACCTTGTCGTACAGAACTTAATGAATAAGACAGAGAAGACCACTCAAGTTGTGAAAAAAAATTGCGTGAACGAGGGATGAACATACTTAGTCATGTCGATGTCGTAACGATCAGTACGCCGACTGCCGTCAGGACGAGGCTCCGCTTCAATCGTAATAGCCTGAAAATTGTGCGACATCATAAACCACCGAACTATAAATTGACAGCAGGGCAATTTGCATAATAGTAACCAACTTGGGCAGGACAAATAGCCTCGCACAGCTTGCAAGCAATACAACGCTCTTCACCTGATGGATAACGTCGAAGAGCATGCTCTCCTCTAAAAAGACATGTCTGAAGCGAAAAAAGTCAAAAATGAACCTCTTAATCTCCCTCTTGTTTTCACTTACGTAGTGGCCACATTGATGCTAATTTCATAGCGAAAAATCGTTCTAATGAGTTTCATCGGAACAAAAGAGACAAAATAATCTTATACCCCATCAACAGAAAGCAGTTCCAGCTGGACTATAGAAAACTATTGAGAACAGCCTACTTCTGAGCAGAACAAAAACAGGTCCTCATGATCGACTAGCTTCACCTTAGCCCACTTCCCCACCAATGAGGCCAACACTAAATTAACACTAAAAATTACTTGACAAATGGGAAAAGGAAAGAGAGAAGGAGAATATATCAATATTACAAACATTATAAAGGCTTATACTGGTGAACGAAGATTTCTCTATCGCTGCCGGTTAGCGAGAGAGAACTATCAGTGAAGAAAATCCGTTGTTGCAGGCTACGTAGGGCGCCTAGGTGGCGGATAGAGTAGTAATCGTGGACCAAAAATCGCCGGTACTTGCCCGCCTCCAAAATCATAGCCCGTCGTCCTCGTCCACGCTGTGATAGCCTGGCAACCCAGCTCTTACACTAGAGCCTGAAAAGCTATTCGGGTGTAGCCATGTGCCAAAAGCATTAATATAAATGGGTCTCATCCCCGTGAATCTGAGGTTGCTCCCAATACGGCAGCGTTGGGTAGTACTGCTCGGGATAGGCTGCTAAAACCTCAGGTCAAAACAGGCTGCCCAAAAGGAGAAGATCTGTACTTTAAACGAACGAACGCCATCGTATGCGTGTATCGAAAATCGGATGGAGGAAGCTAGGAAGAACTGACAGGTACGACGTCGGACTTACCGAAACGAGAGGGCACCACCCTTTGTACGTCATTTTCGAAAGTGGAGAAAAACTTTTTCTTGGAACATGTGACTGCAGAGGGGTCAGCGATGTAGGTTCCTCGTCAAATATCCATATATGGCCATATATCGATTGTACAAAAGCGTAACAAACCAAATCGGACGTTTGTGATTAAGAAGATGCGGCTCAACCTCAGCTCTAACAATCCTCGATGTTCCCAGCTCTAACAATGCTCGTTGTTTACGCACCATCATCGAGCTACGATGACGAAGAGCTGGGAGCGTTCTGAATAGACCTGGATAGACTCCGCAGAGAAGACCATACTTTCTTCAAGGTCATCGTCGGTGATTTCAACGCCAAGATTGGTCCCAGCAGAACGGCAGGAGAGCTCCACCTCATGGACTTATGGAATGGAACGGAATGAGCAGGGTGAAAGGCTGCCCGAGCTTATCATGTCGACCCACGCTATCAATCGTAACTCGCAGTTGCAGTAACCCTATCATTAACGATGGGCATGTGAGTCACCAGTGGACAGCTAAATATAGAAACGGAGCAAATATCTTCAATCGGAAGTTTTGCCTTACTGACGTCGTTGTTGATCCGAAGTTCTACACGGGAACGACCATTCATCGTTTTCTCCGCGTTAGATTCTGTTTTTCATTGCGTGGAAAAAGTGGTGAAGTCCAGGAAACAAAGGCCACAGCGAAGTCCAGGAAATTAAGGCCAAAAACCCCCATCAATTGGGACCATTTGTGAGTCTCTGGTAAGATTCCGTTTTCGACAACATCGATGAAGAGATCAACCAGGTCGTCGAACATCTTGATAGTATTAGGAAAGTAGAAGTCCAGAAATAGCCAAAATACGTCTTTTTTTTGAAGATTCTTGAGCTGATACTCCAGAGTGGAAAGGCGAGCGTAACAGTGAATTATCGACAAACACCCGAACTCGCAAAACTATGCAAATAAGCGATAAAGTAAGATCTGGAAGCGAGAAGAGTAGCATTAAGGAAGGAGCAGGAAAAAGCATTCGCAAAGCCAGGCGGAACTTCGCCAATTACACGACCAAAGTGACTTCTACTCGTCGTCTTGACGGAACACTTACTCCTTTTTGAAAGGCCATGGAGAGGACCGTCTATTCTGATCTGATCTGTTCGACAGCCAAGCCTACCTGCCTACCTACCATCTTCAGCAAGACAGTTTTTGTCGCCCCTTCAGTCCTCCCTTCCGCAATTCGACATGCCATCACGTCGATGGGGAACTGTACGACTCCTGGGCCCGATAGGATCAAACCAGAACAGCTAAAGAGCCTTCCAACAGTTATCATCAGAGCATTGGCTATTCTCTTCACGCGGTACCTGTCGGACTGCAAAATGCCCATGTCGTAGAAAACTAGTAAGACTGTGTTGCTGTATAAGAAGGGAGATCCAGACGACATTGGCAACTATCGCTGAATTTCTCTGTAGTTAATAATCTACAAACTTGGCACAAGCGTCATCCTCAATAAGACCGGCGAAATACTACATGGATGAAGGACAACTATGAGAGCAAGCGGAGTTCCCAAGATGGTTCAGTACAATCGATCACATCCACACTATTACGGGAATCATTGAAGTATCACGAGAATACAGCCGTTATGTCCGGCATTCATCGAATTGAAGATGGTCTTTAATATTGCCGATACAGAAGCGGTAATTAAAGCCCTGGGTAACCAGGGTGTTGTCATTCAATACGTAAGGATGCCTTGTGAGCTCTACGACAACTCCACAATCAGTGTTTCGCCGTTCTATAAGAAAGTCATTGTCAGGGTGAAGAGAGGGCTTCGGGAGGGAGATGCCATTCCGCCCAAAATTTTCAGTGCCGCCCTCGAGAACATAATGCCATTTGAAATGAGATAAATAGGGAGCGTAGGTCGACGACCGCTACTCACCTCTGCTTTGCAGACAACAACTTGCTTATAACACCGAAAAAGAGAAAAGGGAACGAATGCTGTCCGAACTTGACAGCGCTTGCGGAAAGATAGCCTCAAAGGCGCAGTTCACGATAATTTTGGGAAATCCAGATTATGATGAAAAATGAAAGACAAGATCGGAACTAGTGCGACTGAGGTGAAGAAACTGCGTGCATCGGTGTTTCCAAAGTGAAAAAAGGCTTCGAAAAACTGTTAAAAAGGGGGCTGGACGAGAACGGAACCAGAAAAATGAAGAAGAGTGGGGCGTCCGGCGTGCCGTTGCTTACGCCAAGAAATCGAAGAACAGGTGGGCAGGAGACCCTATAGGTTATCGTGATGACCGGTGGACCAAAGCGGTTACTGACTGAATCCCTCGGGACATCGAACCAAGACCAGAACGGTCGAAAGCGCAATGGTCAGACTTCTGCACAAAATGAACGAAGGAAATGCTGAGTGCTGTGCCTCGTGTCCCTCACGATCTACTTGACCACTTTAGCTCGCTACAGGAACGAATGGAGACGTTACTGGCGCCCGCTCGAGAGAAACGATGATCAACGGGACGACTGGTGATCCATGTGATATGATGGTACAACAAGCAGAGCGAAAAAAGAAAAAGCAAAGCTACAACATAGTAGTAGTATAATATAAAAAGTGAGGTACCAATATTACAAAAAAGAAAATAACATAGGAATTCACTGCAACCGTGATGTAATGTAACGTACCTGAACCGAGAACTGAGAGGTCCTTTTTCGAAAGGGTAATTAATGGTGGCAGGTTCCATGAAAACGTGTCCCAGCATGACACCGAAGCCTTAAAGTTGCATCAATAGTCATTCTGGTAGAATATATAAAAACAATAAATGCCAGTGTTCGTCAGACAATAAAAACTATCAGTTCTTGCTCAGTGTAGTGTGGAAGTTTTTTGTTCGAAAACCATATCGATAAGGTTTTGAACATGACACACTTAGCTAAACTAGAACAAAATATAATTCAACCTTGTCAAATTTGACAGATAACAACAGTAACATCCCGTGTATGGAGGTAGAAGACTGCACGCGCCTTGTCGTTTGACAAATGAGTTACAAAATGCAATCTGGTCATTGCCCCTCGTTTTGCGTATGCTGATTTACGATGAGTTTGCCCAAAAGTTTATAGGTTCGAATGTCCCTGGCGATATAAAAACATAGTCCTAAAGCTACTCAAGAGAGATCGCTTAAAATCATTCGCTTTGCAAAATCAGTTCCAAGACATAAGTACAGTAAATTTTAATCTCCACTAAGGCTTAGTCGTCTCCTAGACGAGTTACCTCAGTTTCTTCATTTAACATATGGTAGAATATTAAATGGAAAATTTGAGAGAGAAATCTGAATTTATAGAACTACTGAGGTCCGACTACTAACACATGACCACTATTGATATGCTGATTACTCCAGTCTCTGCAAATCTGTTCTACTTCATCCAATTCTTCAAATTCCCCTACAGCGGACATAGTTTCTGTGTGTGTTTACTACTGACTATTGTCTTATGGAACCGTACTCTATCTTTTCCTTACGTGTTGTGCTGCACATACTCACGCGTGCTCCACAACAAAGAACGCACTAAACAAAGGCATTTTTGTGACCCGAGTCATGCTCCTTAAATTCTGGCTACGATCTCTGGTGTGTTGTGAATTTATGAAAAAAGGAGAAAGGCGCTCCACTTTCCGCAAATGAGTCTCATCCGACTAATTTGTTGACACATTCCTAACCTTTACCATTATTCCGGTGTCCGGGCTTTTCCGAAACATTAGTGGGGTCTCCTGAACTCACATGTGCTCTGCTGATCTTGCTTGAGGCCCCCTACCCATTCCAACCCCTGACGCATGCAAGTGCTTCTTTAGATAATACGGACTTCAGAATAGATAGAGAGAAGCGAATTCTTTGCATAATTCATAGCAAATAATGATTATGACGCCATTGATAGTGAGTAATTTCGGTGAGTTCCCATGTACAAGATTACGAACTTCTTCGTCAGAGTTATGAATACTTGATCCAAGAATGAATTCCATTATTGGTCCCCACCCAACCGAATGCACCCTTTGCGCAGTTCGTAAATTCAAACCACCTCCTTTATACGCTCTAAGCCCCAAGAGGTTTGTGAACAAAGTTATAATTTTGATCTTACCCCCGCCCACGTAAAGGATTTGACCACGTTTGATCTATTACCTCTAATCACTTTTTTTCGCGTTCCAGATCGTTTCTGAACTGAGTTAAAGTAGCTTAACGCACGTCCCGCCCAAGGTAGGAGGAGATGTGTCTGGCTGGTTCACAGTTCACCGGTGTGCCTTCCGGCCGTGTTTCCGATCGAACGACCGACGGCGGCGCTAGACCGACTTGTTGACAACGCCGAACAGTTTGCCTCCAGGGTCGCGTGAGTCATGAAGGCGCGTGACCCATCGACGTTCAGTGTTGTCAACAAGTGGCTAGCGTCACCGTCGGTCGGTAGTTCGGTCGGAAGGTACACCGGTGAACTCTGAAAGCGCCCCTTAAGTCGGGGGGACGTGCGATTTGTGCGATTCCGGGCGCGCGCGGCAAATTGTGCGGCGAAATTCGCGAAGATTCAAACGACTCCTGCGCCTATTATTGGAGCACAAACATGACGTTGAGTACTTTGGTAGGGTCGGACAATCCTACTAACCTACTTTACTTCAAATTTGGGCCCCAATAATAAACGCTGCAGTCGTCCAAATAGCACCGAATTCCGCCGC